GAGGCGAGGAGGATCCTTGGCCCAAAACAAGGTTTTAGGGTTCAGGGTTCAGGGTTTAGGGGTTTAGGGTTTAGGGGTTTAGGGGTTTAGGGGTTTAGGGGTTCAGGTGTTCAGGGGTTTAGGGGTTTAGGGGTTTAGGGGTTTAGGGGTTTAGGGGTTTAGGGGTTTAGGGGTTTAGGGGTTTAGGGTTTAGGGGTTGCAAACTGCCAGTCCTGCATATTCAACACTTCCTCGACGGGCACCACATACATCGGAAACTGCCTCAGCCGCCACAGGTGGATGACCCCTATCCTCCTGCAGTGTTGCACATTGCATGTGAGATCGTCTTAGGGTTTAGGGTTTAGGGTTTAGGGTGCACGCAGCAGATGGCTTGCAAATCGAGGGCCTCTGTTGAAGTCTCGCGGCCTGTCTTTCGCCTTCACCGAATTTCAACTACGAATTTATACTTACACCCTAGCGGGCTCTTTGATTGACTGAGCATACTGCCCCTACAACACCTGCAAGGACTAACTCAGTATTTTATGGGTCCTCTGAGCTTGCAGATTCAATGAAACCCTAAACCCTAAACCCTAAACCCTAAACCCTAAACCCTAATGGCAGTGCGAGGGGCTCGCCAAGGCTTTTCGCAATCTCTTGCGATGCTTCGCGCATGGCTAGCGCGCGCTCCTCCAGAACGTTCCGCGCTGCATGGCAGGATCCAAGCATGGCCTTTTTGAGGCAGCTTGCCCTCAACCCTGAATCCCTAAACCCTAAACCCTAAACCCTGAATTGCAGTTCCAATGCAAGAAAAGGGAACAAACTCAACTTGCGCTCTAAGGCTTCTGGGCTTTATAAAGGGTTTTGGGGGGGGTTTTGGGGGTTTGGGGGGTTTAGGGTTTAGGGTCTTTGATGGCTTTGGGCCGCGAAGAGGCAACACCCTGAGCCCCGGAGCTGGAATAATGCGGAAAACCACGTGCGAGCCAAGAGTTGCGGGGAAGGGCCTTCGCTTCTCCGACCTGAGATCATCCTCCCTCTCAATATTTTTCGATGACTATCATATGCAACTATACATACACACATATATATATATATATCGCTCTCTCTCTCGCTCTCTCTCTCTCTCTCTCTCTCTCTCTCTCTCTCTCTGGTCCCTATATTGGCACTTTAAGGCCTAAGTATCTACTATATGGGCACATGGAGCCTTAGGGTCTGTAAAGCCTTTCAAAAACCCTTGTCACACCGCATGCAGCCCAACGAGCCCTTCTTACACCACCTAAGCTTACGAGATCCTTTTGAACCCTTCTGAGTCAGAATAACAAGATCCTCTAAACGTTAAATACCCTTCCGTAAACCCTGAACCCTAATAAACCAAAAACCCTAAACCCCAAAAGCCTACATAAGCCCTAATAACCCCTAAACCCTAAAGCCTGAACCCTAAACCCTTCTTGCAATGATTCCAGCTCTTGCTGCCGCAGCTCCCCTGCCTTTCTGCAGACGTCCGTGCCATGTCGCGAGCAAGCCAAAGGAAGGCCAGGTGGGCATTTCAGAAAACTAGGGTACCTCATTTTGGGGTTCTTATAATAAGGATCCTACTACTTAGGGTTCTATATCAGGGTCCCTTATTTTCTGAAACTCCCAGGTGAACCCAGAGACTCCAAAACGCCTTAACTAAGGAATATACCTTATAGGGGTTCCTTAATTGGGTCTATAAGGGTTTCATAAGGGAATTAAGGAATATACCCAAAATTATAATAGGATCCCTAGTATGATTTAAGGGTCTATTCCTTAATTAAGTCGTTTTGGAGTCTCTGGGAAGGCCCTCGACCCTCCGTTTACCTTCTACGAATGTAGGTTTAGGGTTTAGGGTTTAGGGGTTTAGGGTTTAGGGTTTAGGGTTTAGGGTTTAGGGCCATAATAATTAGAACAGGGTTCTGGGGGTTCCTGATTACAATTATAGTAGAACATCCCCAAAGCCCTATTCTAATTGTTAAGGCCCCTATACTACCTTGTACTAGACCCGAAACTGATTGATTGACTGATTGCGGACAGTCGTGCTACGGGTCGCGAACTAGACCCGAAATGCCCCTTATTCAGGACCATATCCCCTGGAACTTGTTTGAGGGTACCAGGGGGGTCCTTGCGAGGGTTTAGGGTTTAGGGTCTTATAGTGTATATAGTTCATAATGGTTCGGGGTTTCAAGCGCGGGGCTTAGGGCCAAGGTATCTCAACAACGTGGCGCGACTGTCAGAAGTTGCTGATGCGAGCGAACATTGGGCCAAGCATACCCGAACGGCAAGGATGTTGCATTAATTATCCCTAACACTCCAGGTAGCTACTATATAGGGCCGTAGGGGCTCTAGTACCCTATGCAGTAGGTATCTCGGGGGTTAGGGTATGTTCACGCCAACTGACTTGAATTGAACCACTTCCAAAGCTGCAGCAGCAAACATACTGACCAGGCCTAAAACACACCTGTGCCGTCTTTTACATTGCGAAACGTCAGGCCGGCAGTATGACCCTTTGTAGCACTCTCTGAAATGCTCTATGTGCCACGTATCAAAGTAGATGCTGAAACGATCAAACCCTGAAAACAGCGTTTCATTATTGGAATTAGAATCATCGACCAGGTTGGACGAATGTACAATCACGCACATAACGAAATCACCAGCAGCCACCGCTGCCTCCAGGCGAAACCGGTACCAAAAAAGACCAGACCTATGATGAGCTCCCGACGCCTTAACTTTCTCAACAAACTTCGTAAGCCCACTTCATGGTCTTATTGTGGTATTAACAGCCCTTGTTTTCCATGCTACGTCCCTCGAAGGCACACAAAAGAAGCGCGGCCCGTCCCGGAAGTCCTTGGGCGATATCGGCCCCACCGGGTGAACTTTCTCCACCCCTTCGGGGCCGAAGGTCACCTGGAGCTTTGGGTGTGTGGGTTCAGGGAAACTTGAATAATGGCAGTTTTTGCATATGGGGGTTTCCGAAAATAAGGGACCCTTATATGATGCCCTAAATAGTAGGATCCTTATTAGGAGGCCCCCAAAATAAGGTACCCCTTATTTTCGGAAGCTGTTTCGGAAACTCCCATAGTACGGGTTCCGGAACACCGGCCCAGTCGAAGCGGGAGTCTCTGCGCAGAGGCGTTTCGGGAACGGGTTCCGGGCGGGCTTGGGAGAAGAGGTCTTAGGACGTCTGTTTGTAGTTGGGAAATCTCGAATTGAAATGCTTGGCCTAGTATAGGGGCCTAAATAATTACCGACACTATTTTGGGGGGTTCCTTGTTATAGTACTAGTATACTGGGCCCAGAAACCCTTTTCTAATTATTAAGGCCCCTATATTAGAAGCTTTAGCTTCGGATGCGCATGCATGGCTCCATCACCGTGCGTTGATGTCTCTAAAACAGCATGCAACCGCCTTCTGTTTCGGCTCTGTGGCTTGGAAGCTTCGGGAATGGATTATTTTAGGGTTTAGGGTTTAGGGTTTAGGGTTTAGGGTTTAGGGTTTAGGGCTATTGAGTATGACAGAAACTGGCCTTCGTCGAGAAGTAGGACACGCCTGGATATATGTCCTCGGCACAGAAGAGTCCAAAGAGGCAAGCCCTGGTTAGACCTGCAGGAAACAATCTCCGTCAGTGCCATCTCCCAACCACGACAAGTTCGGCAAACTCATCATGAAGTTAGTATACCCTAAACCCTAAACCCTAAACCCTAAACCCTAAACCCTTCTAATTTTGCAACGTTCACCAGCACAACCTTGCTCCTCCGACTGACCAGTGTGTCCCATGCAGCAACCTCTATCCCAAGCACATTTCCTAACCCAAACGCACCTTGCTACCATGGTGTCAGGTTTGTTCGTAAAGAAAGACCCTAAACCCTAAACCCCTAAACCCTAAACCCTAAAACCCTAAACCCTAAACCCTAAATCCTAAACTCTGCAACCGTGGTGGCCGACAGGCTCAAGGCTGCAGTTGCTTTGGCAAGCAGAGGGATGGGGAAGGCCCGGAGAAAGGGGGGCCAGAAATAACCATTGTATAGTCCTTATAAGGGTTTAGGGTTTAGGGTTTAGGGTATTATATACACCTTATATAGCCAGGTAGTTTCCATATTAACCCCAATAACCTACAAGGGTCCCTACTAAGGGTCCCTCCTGAAGCCCTTAGAGGCCAGAAATAACGGGGTTCATGATTATAGGATCCTTAAGGGAGGGTGGCTCAAGGGGGGAGGGTCCTAGGGAACCTAAGGGAGTACTGGGGAGAATTGGGGATTACTGGGTTATATACCACCCTTAGAACCCCCTCCCTTAAGGATTCCATAACATGAGGCTAAGACTCAGACTCCGGCAGTCAACATTCGAGTTCAGGCGTTGCGGTTTAGGGCTGGTACCGTTTAGGGTTTAGGGTTTTAGGGCTTTAGGGGTTTTGGGTTTTAGGGCTTTAG